AGTAGTCTTCAACTCCTCTGGGACTGTCCATTAACCCTTTTTTGCCAAAGAAAACCCAAATTCAGAAATCCCTCTGAATATATTTTTTTCAAAATTCCAATTATTAATATCTTCATTTGAAGTCGTAAGAGAAAAATAGAGACGAGCCCCTATAGCAACAATCCTGAAACATATAGGTATTTTAAGCTCATAAAGACCTCCCCATAAAAAGTTTTCTTGATTCTTCCAGGTTGCCAAGAAATGAATTATATCTATTCTTTGTATTCAGTTCAACAAAACAAATATTGAAACAATGTTGTGTTAAAAAGAAACCTGCAAGTGTAGGGAAGTTCATGATAAGATACTAAATATCCAAAATATAGACAAAAAAAATAACATAAATAGGCAGATTTGTAGTCCCCAAATATTGGACCAAGTAACTGAGCATCCTGCCATCTGCTACACTCTCCCTGCTAGGGTAGAGGGCAAGAAACCAGGAAACTAGGTTGGATCAGCATTTCCATCTGGTCCCCATCCAGACCCCAACATGGAGCCAGAAGCAATCCGAGCCAGGTGTTAGGGGGAAGAAGACCAGGAGATCTGGTTCCTTCATTTTCCAGACCCAAATATGGGTTTGAGGAGCAACAGGAACCTAGAGAGCTCCTTCCCTCCCTCCCCAGACACCTTCATAAGACCAGACACAGCTACATAGGATGAAAGCAGAGGCGCCAACTTTCTAATTTCCCCGGGGATGCTCGACCTCTGCTCTACACTAGGCCCTGCCCCCACTCCATCCCTTCTCCCAAGACCTCACCCCCACCTTGCCTCTTCCCACCTCCAACCCACCCCCGCCCCACTTCTTCCTGCCCCACTCTTCCCCCTCCCCCCCCCCAGCACGCCACTGAACAGCTGATCATGGCAGGCAACAGGCGCTGGGAGAGGGGAGGAGCTGATTGGCAGGACCACTATTTTTTTTCCTGTGGATGCTCCAGCCCTGGAGTAATCACAGAGTCAGCGCCTATGGATGAAAGTTCCTTAATCACAGAGATTCCTCTGCAGTTCTCAACAAGCAGCTTAGAAGTTAGCAGGTCTTATTTCAGTACTGCCGCTGTTAGGCAGACATGCACCCAGAGGGAGATGGCCACAAGTGTGTTTGATATTGCTGCTCATGGGCCACCTATCTGCCCTTGCTGACCCTTATAACATCAGCAGGGAAACAGAAAAAAACTCTATGTGAATCGTAAAAAACAAACAACAACAAAAATCTACTGAGGACATGCTGTTTAAAAGAATACCCTAAAAAACTTGCATTTAAAACAAAAATCTATTTAGAAAATTCAGGTTGACAGTATCCTTTAACCTTTAATCAAAAGGTAGAAAATGCCCTATGACACCTAAATAAAATGTTTACTATTCCCGCATAATAGGTAATTCCCATTAATACTTAAAGGGAAGCTCTCAGGTTAAAATATATTTTTAAAAAGCATTACTGTTAAAAACACTTAAATTTTAAGTAGCATTTTTAGTATCACTGACACTGTTTGTTCAGCTATTTTCCATTGATTAATCTATTTTAATTGTCCAACCTCAGCAAGTTTCACTTTGTTCTAGTGCATGAGAAACATGTTTCCATATTTGGATGGAAGGCACTGAAGAAGAATGTTCAAATCCAGATAAAACTGCTTTCCTTGATTCTCCTGCCACCCACACATACTTCATGAAAATATTTGTTAATAGTAGGCATCGTGATGCCTTTTCCCCTAAACTTTCTGACACTGTCTGTATAAACATGTTGCACACACATATTAAGGAAACAAAGGGTCCTTATGATATTCCTCCATTTTGGAGATAGAGGAAAGCCTAAGGGGTTTAATTCTGCACTTGATTTATTTTCACCTCAGGGAAACCCTTGCATTTATACAGATTCTACCTTAAAACCTGCCTCCATGTTTTTCATCTAGCATAACACAAAAATCAGCACCAAGTTTAAACATCTCAGCTGACTCATAGTACATTTTTATTATATCTGAGCTCCATGTGTCATTAGATTGTTTGATCATCAATCCTGCTTTTAAAGCATTTGCAATATACTTTACAAAAAGGATAAGGATGTCCACATGGTGGCGTAGTAGCCATGAAAAGTAAGAACTAATGATGACTCTAGAAAGAGAGTGTAGCTAACCAAATTACCTATGGAAGTGCAAAACAGATTGGTCAGGGTTTGTTTTTTGAGTTTTCACTAACAATACTGTTTGGCTTTCTAGCACTGTTTTTATTAACTTTAATTAACGTGTTCATTATGTTATACACAACTTTAAAGCCAAAAAAATAGATTTTGGACCTAAACTACTTGTTAGTATTACTTTAAAACACTTATCATGTCAAGGATGCAAAGTTGTAGATGATAACTGTTAATTTTCATACAAATTACTAAAAAAAATATAACAATGGATATGTGCTTGAAAACTTCATAAATGCAGCCAGTAATTAAGTTTCCATTCAAGTAACATTGACTCATTTCCCAGAGAACTCAAAATTAAGGACAATCTGCCCTTAGCACAGCATACCCACATCACTGAAAGTTATGTCAGAATATATAAACATCACACTATTCTATTATACCGAGACACCGTATTAGGCAAATTAAGAATAACCCCTACATTTTCCAGCAAATGCACTATATTACAGTTAATTTATGTGTTGTATTGGGATACATCTGTGAAAGCTGGGTTGCATACATCTTATACATTAGGCTAGGGTAGGGGTGGGCAAACTACGGCCTGTGGGCTAGATCTAGCCTGTCAGGGCTTTGGATCCGGCCTGCGGGATTGCCACCCCCATGGTGCCGCGGGGCTAAGGCAGGCTCCCTGGCCCCACGCCGCTCCCGGAAGTGGCCACCACCATGCCCCTGTGGCCCCTGGGGGGAGGGGGAGGGGGAGGGGCAGAGGCTCCGCGCGCAGCCCTCGCCTGAGGGTACCTCCCCCGCAGCTCCCATTGGCCGGGAACAGGGACACCACGGCCAATGGGAACTTCGGGGGAGGTACCCACAGGTGAGGGCTGCGCACAGAGCCCTCTGCCCCTCCACACACACTCCCCCAGGGGCCGCAGGGGCGTGGTGGTGGCCGCTTCCGGGAGCAGCGCGGGGCCAGGGCAGGCAGGGAGCCTGCCTTAGCCCCACTGCCACCCCAAAGCCACTCAAAGTAAGCAGCGCAGGGCCGGAGCCCACACCCCGAACCTCTCCTGCATCCCGCACCCCAACCTCCTGCCACATCCCTCCTTCACCCCAACCCCCTGCTCTGAGCTCCCTCCCGCACTCCCTCCTGTACCCCAACCCCTTGTACTGAGCCCCTTCCTGCACACTGCACCCCCTCCCACACCCGCTCCTGCACCCCAACCCTACATTCATGGCCCTGCATGCAATTTCCCCACCCAGATGTGTCCCTCGGGCCAAAAAGTTTGCCCACGCTGGACTAGGACATACTAAGGACGTACTGTTTCTACTGAACACCATAAGTTTTAAACATACCGACAAATGTTTGCTGCTTTATTTACTACTATAGTAGATTATCAAATCAAACTGCAAGGGTGTATTTTCATCAATTCTGCTGACAGGTGTTTTACCAGGCCATTCTCTACTTGTCAAGATGCATTCATTAGCTCAGAACCACAGAAAGATGACAGTTCATGTAATGGAATTTTTTTTCCTTGAATGCTTTCAACATTTTATTGCCACATTCAATGAATCATGCTTTGGAAATCAATGTTGTATAACACAAGTTTATTGCAGCTAGCTCTCTCTCTCTTTGTAGTCACTCTTATGCACATTCTTTTGTGAGACTATTTTTTCCTCTAATTGTCAAGTAATCCTTGGAGACAGAAAGTGGTTTGTTAAATTTGTTGACACCCATATTGGTGACATACCATGCCCCAATAGGAATGCAAACCACTGTAGAATGAAGAGACCCCAGGGATGGACTCGGCCTAGGAACATAAACAGAAGAAAAGGTACACAGAGGAGGGGGCTGGCCAGTTTGGGTAGACTGCTCCCATATTTTAAGGCTTAAGCTGTACGATAAACCAGGGTAGACAATAGATGGACAGTGGGCCAAAGCCAAACCGCCAGATGCTTTTGAACAGACCGCATCTTTTTTATTTACTTATTAATTTAATTTAATGCTGGAGCGGATGACATGGCAGTGAGGTGAAGCACAGTATAGATCAAGGATCATCAACTATTTTTTGTCATGGTCCAAATTTCTTGGTCAAGATATAGGCAAGGTCCAGACTCCAAGAGAAACCTTTTTCACACAGCAGATAAACCTGCAGCCTGCCTGGACCCCTAGCTAAAGAAGAAAGGAGGGTTTGTTTGTTTTGCGGCAGGGGCCCCCTTTTCTCCTGTGGGAGGGGCCTGGAGAGATTCATTCTCCCCTCTTCGAGGGGTCAACCCTCTTTTCTTGCGTGTGCCTGGGCACATGGGGGTGTCTATCCCCATCAGATGGGGGAGTGAGCCCCTTCTCCTCCCCGTGAGAGAATGGAAGGGGTTAGTGTGTGTGTGTCCCCCCTCCAAGCCCCCCATGCTCTGACCGGTGCGCATGCAGGGGAGGGACCACCCACGTCTCCCGGGTCTATGAAAGTAGAACTGGAGAGGAGTGAACACCTCGGGGGGGGGGGGGGTAGAAGAGGAGCCAGCGCCCCTGAGTCAGAGGGGAAGGGGAGTTAACAGGCGGGAGTCAGGGCGGCTGGCCCCTCCCCTCTCAGCCTCGTTTCACTTACTCCAATCCCGGGGAGAAGAAAACTCCGTCAGGAGAAAAAGCCGGGCCCCAGCGACCGCCACTTTTCACCTCAGGACTGACAACAAGTACACCCCAGCTAGGGGCGGGGGAAAGCGGTCATGACCCGGAAATACATAGGACTTCGGAAGTGAAGGCCCTGCGAAGTAGCGGTCACTGGGGGTGGAGCCTACGGGAGGACGCAGTTCTCACAAAGCGCATGCCCCAAAGGGGGGGGGCACGAAACAGCGCTAGTGATTGGACCATTCAAATGTAGGAAGCTGGATGATTGGGTGCTCCGAAGGTGTGGGCGTGGCTGGCGGGAAAGAGCGGACAGTTTGGCGAGCCCGAAAAGCGCTGCTCTGTCGAGATGTCCGCGAGCGGCCGTCGCCGTCGCGGTGCCCTTGACAGGTAAGCGGGGGGGTTCCCGGGCCCTGAGGAGATGCTCTTGGGGCGTCAGGGGGGGTTCCCCTTTCCGTGCCTTGCCTGGGACTGACCCCCATTTCCCGCGGGAGGGGCTTCCCCGTAGCCCTGGGCTGCAGCACACCCCCCCCCCCCGCGTAGCTTGAAGGGGCCCCAGCGGGTATTCACGGGGCCTTCCCACTAGGGCGCTGCCGTGGGAGTCACGTTCCCTCGTGTGGAGAGAGCGTCTTCGGGGGCCCGGCTCCCCCAAACCTCGGGCGTCTCCCTCCCTCCGCTGACAGACACCCCGCAGCCTGTCCGTGACACGCACACGCCAGCTTCCTTAGAGCCAGCCCCAGGGGACGGATCTTAGGCAATGGACGGCGAGGAGAGCCCGGCGCTATGCCCCGCATGGAGCGGCCCTGCTCTGGTTGCAGCGTTGGGCTGTCTCGTAAAACGGAGCAGCGGCTTGGAGGAATTTGCTGCGGGAACTCGGAGGTGTCCTTTGGCCAGTCTCAGAGCAGCCTGGGCGGTGACTCCCCGAGGCTAGAACAGGGACATTTTCTATCTGTCAGGGTAGCGTTAAGGTGCAGCTGATGTGCAGTGCTTCTATAGCGTGATGCCAACTTTTCCCAACCTAGCGCTAAAAATTTCCCAAATCTGGTGAAAAATGCCCAGATAAAGTTTTCTACAGTGCTTCTATATTCTGGGACATTTCCCAAAACCTGGGAATTTGTGAGTAAAATGTTTCAACTTGGGAAATTGGGAATGTTCACTCAAAACATTTTACTCAAAAATTCCCAGATTTTTGGGAAATGTCCCAGGATATAGAAGCACTGCTGATGTGATACTCCCTCAAAAGAGCAGATGTCCTAAGCCTCGGAAATACGCTGATTCTTTGCAGTGTGTACATTAGTACTGCCAGTCAGAACAATGATAGGTCTCCAACAGTGGCCAGTACCAGAGCTTCAGCGGGAGTATACAGCACAGACCAGTCGGAGTGAACCACACCCCACCTTCCCTCGTCATTGGCTTATAACTCTTTAATATTGCTTTTTAAAGTGGCTTCACAATGGATGAGACAGTTGCTGAGTATATTAGAAGGACTGTGCTGAAAATCCCACGCCATCAAATCATGGAAATGTTAACGATGTGGGAATTCCTCTCCAAGACGCAGCTGGAAACCATTAATGTGCATCAGCTGAAGGAAAGAATTTCCCAAGAAGTGGTGGAGCTTTGTGAGGTGATAACATCCATTGTGTATGGTCTGTCTGTCTGAAACATTTTCATTCTACTTGCATAATGGCAGGATGGTATACTAGAAGCATCTATTGGTGTCTTTGTAATGTGTGACACACATTTAAGAAGGAAAATATTCTCATTCTCAAATTAACTTTATTTTCCTTAATCCAGGCACAGGTTAATAGTTTCCAATCTGAGAAATATAGTGCATGAATACTGAGTTGGCCTAACTAACTTCAGTGGGTGCACAACTGGCCCATAGGAAGGCACAATTGGACTCAATTCTTCCTTGCTCTTTAATTGAATCATAGATTAGAGCCTGCTATTGTTAACAATTACTCAAAGATTTATGTATTGGCACTGGGTAGATTCCAACCATTCAATTGGGATGGAGCTGTTCTGAAGTTCATCTGTATTTGTGAATATGAATGTTAAACATATTCTATCTGGACATCTAGAAGGCTAAGACATGTTATTCCTAAAATGCTGTCTCTCTTAAGGAGTAAAATGCCTATAGTTTTTTATTCTTCTGGAATTCTGTAGTGTTATTTCTGAGGTTTGTGGTTTCTGTTTTGACAAACAAGCACATTAGATGGAATAATTTCCTCTGCAAGATTTGTTTTCACTTTACTTGGTGTAAAACAAAATTTCTTCATATGACACTGCTTGTGATAATGTTCCACAGTTGGGGCCTTATCCTACAATTGCATTTGCATGGGCAGACCCTTGGGCTGGCCTCTGTGGAGTCTCAGTTATCATATCTGCCCTTAAATTCTACTGTTTGTTACACAGTTTTAAAGGCATTGGAATCTCATGATTCCACAGATCTCTTATCTATAGTATTAATATGCAAGCTTCAGGTGCAAGCCAAAAAGACTCGCTGAACGCCATAAATAGTATTGTTAAACTCCTTTTAGTGGGATAACAAATGCCAGGTTCAAAATAGCGAGGGTGTTTTGTAGAAACTTCTTTACTCTGTTCCTAAGAGTATCTATCTGAGATTCTTCAGATGGCATGAATTTTTAAAAACTAAATAAAATTGATGGGAAGAAAATGATAGTTCAGCTTTTACTTGATTTGGATAATGAAACACTAGTCATTTTCTCTTCTGTTTATAATAAAGTTTAGTTAATTTCACTTACTGGGTCTTGTGTACTAGTTCAGAATAGCAATTCTGCAATAGTTTAAATTGCAGCCTCTGCAGAGGGAGTGCATAAGTCCACTCAAATGTTTTCAATTTTTAAAAGAAAACTATGACTAATACTGGGTCGGCAAAACCTTTTTTTGACTGTATGCTCTTTGTGGCAGGGAGTTTGTCTTCCAGTGTTTAGAAACTGCCTAGCATTCTGTGGCCATTAATGCAATCTAAGTAATTTTAACAGTATCTACATTCTGGGGCTAAAATTCCAGACAGTGTTTATTTAAGCCGCAATTTTAATGAAGTGCTATAAAGAATTCTGGCTCTACGGTTCACCATGCACTCTAAATATTTTCTTGCAGGAAAACTCTGCAAGTATCAAGCAAGCAGCCATTCTAGACATGATTTGTAAGTTAAAAATACCTTTTCTTTATATTTTGTCTGACATTATCAAATAACTTCTAATTCAGAGAATTGCCCTTCTGAGATATTGGTATGTTAAGAATGGTCTGACCCAGTATGCCCAATAGTCAATCTAGCCCAGGATCCTGTCTTCTGACAGTGGCCCATGCCAGATGCTTCAGAGGAAATGAACAGAACATGCAGCTTAGAAGGTGATTCATCCCCTGTTGTCCAGTCCCAGCTTCCGGCAGTCAGAGGTTTAGGGGACACCCAGATCGTGGGGTTGCATCCCAGACATTCTTGGCTGATAGCCACTGATGGACTTATCCTTCATGAACTTATCTAATTATTTTTTGAACCCAGTTACATTTTTTGGCCTTCCCAACATCCCCAGGCAATGAGTTCCACAGGTTGACTGTGCGTTGTGTGAAGTACTTCCTTATGTGTGTTTTAAAACTGCTGCCTATTAATTTCATTGGGTGACACCTGGTTATTGTGATATGTGAAGTGATAAATGACACATCTGTGTTCACTTTCTCCACTCTGTTCATGGTTTTATAAACATCTGTCATATTATCTATCATATCCTTAGTGATCTTTCTTTCTGATCTGAACAGTTTCTGTTTTTAATCTTTCCTTGTACAGAAGTTATTCCATACCCATAATCATTTTTGTTGCCCTTCTCTGTACCTTTTCTAATTCTAATGTCTTTTTTGAGATGGAGTGACCTGACCTGCATGCAGTATTCAAGATGTGGGTGTACCATGGATTTATATAGTAGCATTATGATTTTTTTTCTATCCCTTTCCTAATGGTTCCTAACATTGTTTGCTTTTTTGAGTGCTGTGCATTGAGCTGATGTTTTCAGATAAGTGTCCATGATGACTCCAAGGTCTGTCTTCTTGAGTGGTAACAGCTAATTTAGAGCCCATCATTTAGACTGCATGGTGGGGGATTATGTTTTCCAATGTGCGTTACTTTGCACTTATCAACATTGAATTTCATCTGCTATTTTGTTGCCCAGTCATCCAGTTTTGTGAGATCCCTTTGTAATTCTTTAGTCTGCTTTAGACTTAAATATCTTACATAATTTTGTATTGTCTGCATACTTTTCCCACCTTGCTGTTACCCCTTTTTCCGCATCATATATGAATATGTTGAACAGCACTATTCCTAGTACAGATCCCTGCGGCATCCTGTTATTATCTCTCTCCACTGTGGAAACTGACCATTTATTCCTACCCTTTCTTTTTGCCTTTTAACCAGTTACTGATCCATGAGAGGACCGTCCCTCTTATTCCATGACACTGTGCTTAAGAGCCTTTGGTGGGGGACCTTGTCGAAGCTTTCTGAAAGTCCGAGCATACTATATCAACTGGATCACTTTGTCCATATGCTTGTTGGCACCCTCAAAGAATTGTAATATATTGGTGTGGCATGATTCCCTTTTACAAAAGCAGTGTTAACTTCCCCAACATATCATGTTGATCTGTGTGTCTGATAATTCTGTTTTTTACTCTAGTTTCAAACACTCTTCCCGATATTGAAGTTAGGCCTGTAATTACCAGGATCGCCTCTGGATCCTGTTTTAAAAATTGACATTACATTAGCTATCCACCAGTCATCTGGTACACAGGGTGAGTTAGTAGTTCTGCAAGTTCATGTTTGAGTTCTTTCAGAACTCTTGGGTGAATGCCATCTGGTCCCGGTGACTTATTACTATTTAATTTATCAACTTGTTCCCAAACCTCCTCTACGGACTGTCTCAGACTGAGCTGTCAATCAGATTTGTCCTGTAAAAAGAATGGCTCAGGTATGGGACTCTCCCTCACTTCCTCTGCAGTGGAGGCCAATGCAAAGGATTCATTTAGCTTCTCCTCAATGGCCATGTCTTCTTTGAGTGCTCCTTTAGCACCACAGTCATCCAGTGGCCCTCCTGGTTGTTTAGCCGGATTCCTGCTTCTGATGTACTTAAAAAAAAATTTGCTGTTAGTTTGTGTGTTTAGCTAACTGCTCTTCAAATTCTTTTTTTTGGCCTGCCTATTTATACTTTTTATACTAGAGTTTTTGCTCCTTTCTATTTCCCTCAGTAGGATTTGACCTCCAATTTTTAATTTGCCGTTTTGCCTCTAACTGCCTCTTTTACTTTTAGTCATGGTGACATTTTTTGGTTTTCTAAGGGTACGTCTATACCCAGCCGCTAGTTTGGCGGCTGGCAATCAAACTTCTGGGTTCGACTTATCGCGTCTTGTCTGGACGCGATAAGTCGAACCCGGAAGTGCTCGCCGTCGACTGCGGTACTCCAGCTAGATGAGAGGAGTACCGCGGAGTCGACGGGGGAGCCTGCCTGCCGCGTGTGGACCGAGGTAAGATCGAACTATGGTACTTCGAACTTCAGCTACGTTATTCACGTAGCTGAAGTTGCGTACCTTAGTTCGATTTGGGGGGTTAGTGTAGACCAAGCCTTACTGTGTGGGGTGGGGTTTTGTTTGTTTCTTATTTGGGCTATGCATTTAGTTTGAACCTCTGTTACAGTGTTTTTAAATAGTTTCCATGCAGTTTGCAGGCATTTCATTCTTCTGACTATTCCTTTTTATTTCCATTTAACTAGCTTCCTCATTTTTGTGTAGCTCCGTTTCTGAAGTTAAATGCTACTGTGGTGGGCTTCTTTGGTATTCCTCCTTTACCCTCAGCCCCTCCCCAAAGATGTTAAATATAATTATAACATGGTTGCTATTACTGAGTGGTTCACTATTCACCTCTTGTTCAAGATCCTGTGTTCCACTTAGCAATTAAGTCAAGAATTGCTTTTCCCCTTGTGGGTTGCGAGACTGCTCCAAAAGGCAGTCATTAATCTATTTTGTCCATTTTATATAAAATTCTAGGGAATCCACAAATCATAAATGTTTGCCCATATGTTAACTGACTAGAGATGACTAATCCTGTATAACACTGAGGTTATAGATCAAATCCAAGACTTTATTACAAATTTAGGGAGAAAATGTTTGTCTCCAGTATGATCAGCACACTAAAAACAATATTGTCTTGAACATATGGTACTTCTGGGGGAATTCTGTGCCACTGCAGAATTTTGCAGAATTCCCTGTTTTCCCCACAGAATTTATGGCCGCCACTAGGGGATGCTGGACTCGGCAGAGCCTAGCTTGCAAGGAGTGTAATACCCAGCCTGGCATGGCTTAAGGCTGCATGCTCTTTGATCCTCATTCTCCCGGGTTGGGAGCGGGCCTGGGAGACCCAGCCAGCTCTGGCAAAGGGTGAGGAAGGGCAGGGCTGCACTACAACATCTCCCCTGGAGGGATAGTGAAAAAGTTAGGGGGTGTAAAGGCTATGGGGGTGCTGGTGTCTGGGCTTGGCTGTGCCCCGTGGCTGGGCTCTGGGGGTGGGGGCTTGGATGCTGGGGGCGGCTCCACGGCTGGGCTCTGGGAGGGGGGGCAGCCCCGCGCCTGGCCTCTGGGGAGGTTGAGGGGGTCTGGGGTCTGGAGGCCGCCCTGTGGCTGGGCTTGGAGATGGAGGCTGTGGGCTGCCCCACAGCTGGGCTCAGGGGCTGATGTCTGGGCTGGGGGCCGCCCTGTGGCTGGGTTCGGGGTGTCGGGGGCCGGAAGGTGCCCCATGACTCAGCTCTGGGTTTGGGGTGTCTGGACTGGGGGGTGCCTTGTGGCTTAGCCCAGGGGGGGATGGGAGTCCAGGGGGAATGGGCTCTGGGGGCCTCACACAGCCCCCTCCAGCATCCCCCAACTGTTGTTGTAAGGGTTTCTTTAACTCTCTACTCCTGGGGGAATCTTTTTTGCTGTTGTCTGTATTGTTCACACCTTTGACACGTATTTTGAAATAAATTTCCAAAATAATTGAAACTGGAGTGATTATATTGTGGTGTTTTGACAAAATATGCAGAAGTTTGCAAAAATTTTAATTTTTTGGCACAGAATTCCCCCAGGAGTAATATGAGTGTTAGTTTAATTCAGACAGCAGCGTATGGCACATTAGCTTCTAATAATCAAGGTGGATCTCTAAATTCAACATAGATATATAGATATAAACTTTTGTTTATGTGGAAAACTGAAGTATAAGTGATTCCAAAATGTTTTGTTGTGTGTTGTTCTAGCTGTTTCCTGTACATTGATAACTCTTTGTACTTACAAGTTGGCAAACTCTTGTAAGTCTTTCTTTTTTCTCTAATTGCCCAAAACAACTTAATTCAAGTTAAGAAAGAGTTTTGGTACCTTACATGTAATCCTTTTTAAAGAGTGAATTGGGAGGAGGTTACCTCGTTAATTAATTAACCAAAATACAACAAATTTTAATGTCTCCTGTATAAAGATGTCTATTTTACTTGTAGACTAGAAGCTACCTGCAGCTTAGGACAGTCTTGATCACTAGGACTTTTTTTGAATTTGAGGACAATTGTTTGAAAGTGATCTGATCACAAATAATGTATGTCAGTAGTTTACTCAAAACAGTTAAGTTCCATGTTGACTGCATCATTGGACAACTTTTATCTCCCCAGACAACTACACCTATCGAAACAAGAAAGTTTGGACTGTTTACCAAATGACCAAAGCAGCGGGTAGGTAAACATCATTCTCTAAAGATACCACCTCTACAGGATTCTCACTCGTGGGAAAGGTCCTTCATTTTTGGCTTTTACATACCCCACCCCACCCAACCCCAGGAAAATTCCTCAGTTTTATAAATGCCATTATTCGGTTTGTACAGGTTCCTCCTATGCCCTCAATTTTGGACCATTCAGGTGCATGAAAATACTGATTTATGTTAGGAAAATCCAATACATTATATTAAGTAGATGTATTTATGTTGTTAATAAATTAGTCTATCTGTTAAGGTGAGACAGTATAAGGGAAGAGACATGTATGCACGTGTGTGTGTGTGTGTAGTATGTCAGTGCTCACATTCTAAAAAAAGAAGTGCCAAAACTCCCCGGAGAGATTAAACTGACACTATTTGATCTATTAAATGGTTACAATAAATGTTTAAATTCTTGGGTTGATGCTACAGCACTGTAATACCATTTTGCTGTAACAGACCAAATTGTGTCTAACAGTCATAATTTTTTGTTTACAATAAGTGGTATCTTTTCTTGTATAACAGGTGAAGAAACTGACTCTTTTAACTTGGCAGATTTCAAATACAAATTTAAGAGAAGTCTTCGGTCAGCTCTGAAAAATGTAAGAATAAAACCATTCTAAATGAGTTGCAACTCTGCAATATAAAGGGTGGTTATTATATCATCTTTAGGAAGATAATTCTTGATTTGACCCTGCTTTTTAACCAAAACTTGAAGTAAATCTGTAAATGGCTGGAGTTGTGGGGGATTGTATTTGAAATACCAAGGAGAAACTATATATATAGTAGTAGTGTTTACCTTCAGACTTGCTGTTTTCTGGTTGAGGGAAGTGAAAAGTGGCAGAGTTCTGTCGTAAAATATAGCATTACCTGTTTCAGGCTGCAGAGAAATACAACTGTATTTCCAATTTTGTGTGTTTTCAGTACTAAGTAACACTCTATCTACTGCAGGGGTTGGCAACGTTTGGCACGCGGCTCGCCAGGGTAAGCACCCTAGCGGGCCGCGTGCCAAACGTTGCCGACCCCTGATCTACTGGCTAATAATTGAAAACCAGTTTGAGTCTGTACTTCAGAAAATACATAAACTAGATAAATATAGCTGAATCAGGCTTCAAAAAGCATTGCTAGATACAAAAATGGAATGTTGCTCATATAGGCCAGAAGAGTGCAGTGTTTCAGGACAAATACATCTGAGACTTTAAAGCTAGGGTGTTCATGTGGCCTAGATATAATTGATATTGTTCTAATCTGTCAATCAATAAAACAACTCTGTTAACTAATAATATATAAATAAACATCTCTCACCAAACAATCTGAGTGGAATTTGAAGTAGCCATGTAATTTTTTTATCAATAAGCAGAAAACAGAGGGTGGAAGTGGGAGGGTGTATACACTATTCTGAAGTTAGCACCAGTAGTAAAAATGGAGTCAGAAATAGTAAACTGCTCTTGCACATGGTCTCTAGCTTATGCTTCAATTTATTATCTCTAGTGGGCATATTTTCTGTGTTTTGGAGTTTTGGCCCTGATATTGTTATATTTTGGCAAAATTTTACATTGTCTAGTAGACAGTGGTGTTCTTGGGTCACATACTATATGAAGTAGTGTCCAACATGTGACCTAGGGAGCTACTCATGGTTATGAAGAGTGAATATGTATGAACATTTTGTTTGTTCTAATTATCAGTTTAATGTGTTCCTTTCATCAGTATATGAAACACTTGTCACTATTGGAGGGGGACGCTGCTTCCTTAGCAGACTTGGGAGCTTTGTGAGCAGCTGTTTTCTTTCTTGATGCAACTGCTGAGCAGTTTGCCTGCATTGCAAGGGAGGGAGAAAAAAAATGACTGACTGGCCAATTGCCTCCTTCCCTCCCCCATTAGAAGCAGTATAGGAGCTTGACTGGCTCTGCCTGAACCTACGAGAGCACCTAGCAAAGGGTGGCTTCCATTACCTACACAGCCACTACGGGTAACTTGGTATGGGTGGGTGAAGCTGAAAACCAATAACCAGTTGAACAGCAACCTGAGTGGTAAAAGGAAATGGAACAGGGCAGAGAAACTACCCCAAAGCATTGACTGTAGACCTTGACCTCTCTGAAATATATTCAGTCCTAAGGCTGAAAAACTACTACTGTAATGTAACCTCACACCTGTAAAATGGGTAGTGAAATAGACTCATTAGAATGGAAGCACTTGAGTTACCATCACTAGTGCGCCACATAAAATACAAAGGTATTGCTGCTATCTACCTTTGCTTCCAATAAGGGTGCTTGCATTTATTTATTTATTTTTAAATAAGACGCCTTCTAATACAAAGATATTTTCTAAACACTACAGGCTAAATTCTATCTGGTGAAAGAATGCTGTGCAAGTCAATGGGATATGTCTCTTTCATTAGAAGTGGCATATCACATGTTCACATATAGTACCTAACTGTAATGCATAAACACAGGGGAACAGTTAACCCACACAACGTTAGTTTTGGTGTCTCCTGATTTGAGTGCCTAACTAAATTGTAGCTTTTGATTTTTCTAATCAGGTGACTATCAACTTCAGAGAATATGAGGATAATGCAATATGGATTCGAATTGCTTGGGGAACACAGTATACAAAACCAAACCAGTACAAAGCTACTTATGTCGTGTATCACTCGCAAACTCCCTATGTCTTCATTTCCAGTCTTAGGAGCAGCATACCTCTGCTTTGTCAGGTATAGAGCAAACTTGATTGTTATAGATTTCCATCATGTTGTTTCTAGTTATCAAAAGAGGGTTGTTGCGATGTTTCCTCACACTTTCACTGGAAAATCTGGAATGTAGTTGTTTGGTCTGGAAACATAACACAATCCTTAGATTAGATCTCTAAATGGAGTTCACTAGGGGCGTTCAGAGGCACAAGTGCATACGTGCATTCAGAGATACATTCTCAGTATTGGTGCCCCTCTCATATACCACTTTAAAGTCCATACCAAAACTCCTTAAATACAAACCACTTAGAATAACTGCCTTTAAGATTTTTCTCTTTATCAAAATTTTATTTAATAAAGTGAGTTTGTGCTTTTACTAGACTATAATTTTAAATCTTTGAACCGGATGTGCTTGTGTTGAGGACCTGTTAACTTGCAAGGTATCTTTACTTCATATCTTTAAACTGAATTGCTACAAGTGGCCACATGATGGGTCTTAAAAGCTGGCTTAGAGTAGAAGTGATAGTTACTGACAAAAATAGGGGTCATGGCCTATGACTGCCTATTAAAACCTCATATTATTGGCGCTTGTCCCTATTACCTTTGTGACCTTCTTGGAGACTGGCAGTGGATGTTCTAGGTACAGTAGAACATCAGAGTTACAATCAATCTCCATTCACAACAAAACGTTATGGTGTTTTTTTCCAAAGTTTACAACTGAACATTGACTTAATACGGCTTTGAAACTTTACTATGCAGAAGAAAAATGCTGCTTTCCTTGTATTTTTTTTAGTAGTTTAGCTTACTGTACTGTATTTGCTTTTTTGTCATCTCTGCTGCTGCCTGATTGCATACTTCCAGTTCCAAATGGGGTATATGGTTGACTGGTCAGTTCATAACTCTAGTGATAGTAACTCTCAGGTTCTACTGTATTCGAAATATGAAAGCAAATTGCAAGTACAGTTTTGTATGTTCTTAGGGTGACTACTAAGCTTCTGAAGCCTTGCAGTATGAGAACAGGATGTACTGGCTCAATGAGTATACTGAGTGTCCAAATTATTGACATTAAGATCATGGGGCAGATCTCTGAGATCTTAATTCAAATTCTTGGAAATTTACCTTTCCAATAACATAACCTTTAACTTCTAATAATCCAGGAGAAAGACCTGGGTGTATTAGTCGATTACAAGATGACTGTCCTGTAATTCATTCTAGAATGAATCAGGCTGGGTATTTCCAGGAGTGATAGGGAAGTACTAATGCCATTGTATACAGCACGAGTAAGACCTCCTTTGGATTACTATGTACAGTTCTGGTCACCCATGTTCAATAAAGAGTGGGCAAACTTTTTGGCCCGAGGGCCACATCTGGGTATAGAAATTGTATGGCGGGCCGTGAATGCTCACAAAATTGGGGTTGGGGTGTGTGTGGGGGGGTGAGGGCTGGGGGTGCGGCTCTGGGGTGGGGCTGGGGATGAGGTGTTTGGGGTGTAGGAGGGTGCTCCAGGATGGGACTGGGGTTTGGAGAGCAGGTGGGGGATCAGGGCTAGGGCAGGGGGTTGATCAGGGGTGCAGGCTCCAGGTGGCCCTTGCCTCAAGATGCTCCTGGAAGCAGTGATATGTTCTCTTCTCCTCCCCCGGCTCCTACACTGAGGCATGGCCAGGTGGCTCTGCTGCGCGCTGTCCCTGCAGCTCCTATTGGCCACAGTTCCCGGCTAATGGGAGCTGTGGCACAGCGTGCGGAGCCCCCTGGCTGCCCCTAAGCCTAGGAGCCAGAGGGGGGATATGCCGCTGCTTCTGGGAGCTGTGCAGAGCGGCCCCCAACCCTGCTGCCTGGCTGGAGCACCGGAATGGGGCAAACCCCAGACCCCAATCCCCAGTGGGAGCTCGAGGGCTGGATTAAAACAGCTGGCGGGCCATATTCAGTCTGCGGGCCGTACTTTCCCCACCCCTGGACTAATACAAACTGGAACAGGTTCAGAGAGACTACTAAAATGATCACGGGAATGGAGAATCTGTCTTATGAGAGGAGGTTAAAAGAGTTTGGCTTGTTTAACTTAGGAAAATGAAGGCTATGGGGGGATACGATCATGCTCTATAAATATATCAGGGAGTAAACACCAGGGAGGGAGAAGAACTATTTAGGCTAAAGGTTTCTAGCGATCAGAATAGTGTGGTTTTGGATCAGCCTTCCAATACAAGGGTGCAGTGGAGTGAGTAAATAACTTACCTAGTTTTCAGATGGAGCTTGATACGTTTATAAACAAGATTATGTGACTGGGTTGTCTGTGATAACAAGGGACTGGACTCAACCCATGAAGTCCCTTCCAGTTCTGTATTAGTAAATTCATATCTTACTGTGCAATGAATCAAGCTATCCCTAAGAATGCACATAATAATGCAGAGCTTAGACTACACTTCCATCTTTTTATTTTTGGTGGTTGGGGTCTTTTCTTCAACTGTAAATTCTCTGCATTACTGCAAAGATATGGCAACCTGTTTAACTTTGCATTTTTCAGATATGAGAATCCTCTTGGGTGATAGTGACCGAACCTACAACTTAATAGCTGAATAAAAATGTTGCATTAACCAGAAATGTGTTACATTTTATTGTAAATAATGGTGACTTAAGAAGTAATGATAAAAATAATTTCAATTTTTATTTAAAGGCACTGGTTCATGCTTCCAATTACCATGACATCCATGAAATGGAGCTCCGAAGCCGTTGTATAGACTCCCTTAAAGATATTGTGTTCAAGAGGTATAGCCAGGTGAGTCACTTTTCAAGTTTATTCTAAGATAAGTCTTGGTTTTTTTGTTTCAGGCCTGGCTCTAAACTTCCTAGCAGGTGGGGAAAACCTCTTCCAAGAATTCATCATGTTACAGTAATACTGAACTACTGAGGTGGACAGCCTTTCAGTAAGGTAACATAAAATGGTGATCTAAAACCTAGTTTCCCACCTACTGCTTTTTAGAGGCATTCCTGAATTACCAATTAAACTACGACATAGAGTTGGATAAAATGATTTAATCTTAAGGTTTTGTATTATTACTGCTTCATTGGTCTTAATAAAGTACAGGCGAGTCTCATCTTACGTTGGGGTTACATTCCGCTGCCAGCGTATAAAGCAAAAATCGCGTATAGTCAAAATTCCATTGAGTGTAATGACGGGTGGAATCGCCCGCGCTACAGGTACAGTATTTAAATTGTTGTTTTTCTCTTGTTTTTTTGTTTTTTGCTGACTGTGCAAAGCTGAATTCGTGCATTTAAATGCGTGTAAGATGAGACTCGCCTGTACTGACTTGGCAACTATTAGAATAGGTATTTACTCTGCTTGTCTAAAGAACACTTCCAAATAGAGAAACGTTTTCTGAGTATAGTCAGGAAAAACGTCACTTTCCAAAACTAGGATTTCGGATTCTTAACTTCCATAATTGGTAAAAGCAAGGAGAGCACTCTGTTTCAGAAGGTTTTTTTAAGGAAATCTGGAAACTATTTCTAGCGAGAGCTCCTAGAACTGGAAATAAACTGATTGTAAAGACCTTGTTGTTCCTCCTCCCACACTTTTTTGTATTTTGTTTTTAGACCTTCCAAACATATCACCCAAGACCTCTACAAGAAAGAAATGTTGCTCCAGAAAAGGGTATATGCTTATTATTTTTTTTAAATATATGGCCTTTTAAAATAAGCTTTGTTCTGAAATATCATTACTTTTCAGGTTTGCGTTCTTAGGTCTTTTAAATGTTTCTTGTTATAAAGTGCCAAGTAATTATTATATTACATTCATAGTATAGTACATACACTGCAGTGATTGCTGCTTGCCAGACTACACCTCCACCCTTTCCCAGGCTGGCTGAGTTCTGTTTACTAAGTCACTGAACATCATTTGGATGCCCATGTCGTGGTTCTGATTCTTATACCAGCTTGGCTGGTCAGATAGACTCCACTATCTTACAGTAACTGTTTCTATTAAATGTTTCGTCCACCTGGCTCCTATGACCTGCCCTCCATTCCCACTCATTCTCAGCACAGATTGATTCTGAAGACAAATTAGCAAGTGGTTGGGGCCACACTGCCCTAATTGTCCTTGTGTGGGAGGACATGTAGAGCGCAAGCACAGCCCCAGTGAATGCTGCTGGTCAAAAGAGTTTGGTCTTGCACGTATGAGGTGCGTGTTCATGATAAGTAGGATCCATGAGGATAAAACATTCAAGGTAGACTTTTTATACAGCTACTGTAAAGTTTCTTCCCTTTGAGATAGCATGCTTGTTTGATTTCTGGCTGGCTTCTGCAGCGTTGCCTTAACTAAGAAATCCAACATGCAGTTCTGAAGCTGTTACCTTTACATAACGAGCACTTTTGTCGAATTAGAACTTTTTTGTCAAAAAAATAAATTTTTTCCTAAGCTTGTTTTTTAGGTCAGGAAATAATATCTTCACTTATTTATATGACTTACCTAGCACTCTTTTGGCTGTTTGAAAAACAGCTAATGAAATCTAGGTAATTCCCAGAAAGGAATCTTAATAGACGAATTATCTGTTAAATGTCAAACTTCTAAAAGCCTGGATGGATTGATGCTCCTAAAATTAAGATGCTTATAGCATTTGCTTAGAGTTAGGCACATTGTGAGTGTGTGGCACACAAGCATTTACTCCCTCACCCACAAAGTACACAATGCTAAACTTTTTTTCCCTTTTTGGTCAGGCTGTTTTATTAGTTTGGAGTTAGTTTTAAGTTGCAAATCTTCATATTTCACTAGCTATCTGCCAGATGAGCATTTTGTGCATTCTCTAAAATTTGTATTCTATTCTGGGTATGTCACATCTAAAAATAATTCCCAAAGAAATGGTATGTGTAAATAATAGCTAAACAATCCCATATGAGAGTTAACAGGGTGTGGTGTTGTTTTTTTCCCCCTCCTCCAGTGGATCCGAGGATAATTCAAGAAAATAAAAGGGAAAAAGAGAGAATCCAGAGTGTGAATCAGGAGGTCTTTGGTGAGGGTCTCCAACCAAAAATAGAATTTGCACAATATAAGGTGATAAACACGTTTAATCCTTCTAATTTGGTTAAAATGACTAATCAGTAGATGTGTTAAAGCACAGTTGTAAAAATTCTCTAGTTTTTCTTCCGTTTTGCACAAAATGTTACTAGATTTTTTTCATAAACTAGTTACAATTACAGATTTCTAATGCACAGCTCTTGCTGCATTCGTGGGATCTAGTGCCCAAAGAAGCTACGTTTAAAATTCTGGATCGTATCTCAGTCTTGCACAATCCATACTAATTGAGTAATAGTAACTTTAATTTGATCATACTCTTGGGATCAAAGTATTTTGGATGTTGTACTATAATAAAATGAGATTTTTAAGTACTGATGAAATAGAAGTCCAGATTATACAGAGTACAGGTAACACTCAATAGATAGGTTGAAAAATAACTGTTCATAACTAAGGCTATGTTTTAGTCATGTGTATTTTTAGTAAAAGTCATGGACAGGTCACAGGCAGTAATCAAAAATTCACAGCCCCATGACCAGTCCATGACTTGTACTATATACCCCAGACTAAATTTTGGGTGGGCAGGGGGAGGGAGGGACATATCACCACTTTTGGGGAGCTCCCTGAGGCAAGCGCCACCCAGGGCCCTCGCCCGCTCCTGAGCCCCCTCCCACACCCAAACTCCTGCTGCTGGGGGATGGGGGGAGGGAGGGGGGGAGGAACTTGGTGCCCTGAGACTGCCCTAGCAGTGAGCTGGTCAGGCAGCCCCTAGGCTAGCCGCACCGATGGCTGCAGAGGTCACAGAATCCATGACCTCTGTGACAAACTCGCAGCCTTCTTCATAACAAAACTATTAATGTATCATTAGGGATTCCAAGAGATGACCCTTAAAGTTTTACCATATACAGTGGACATAACTGCATGTTTTTTGTTTTTTGTTTTTTTTTTAGTGGGGAATTGTTTGCCACATGGGGGCACCCCCGCTTGCATTAAGAAGATATTCTTCCACCTAAAAATGTATTTACACTAGCAAACAGGTTGTTGAAAGGCACAAATAAAATAATTGTAATAGGCCCCGTAAACAAACTTTTAAAATGTATGCCCAAGACTTGAAGTCAGAAGTTAATCAAAGCAGCATGTTGGTGCAGCTGCTCTTTTTAAAACACTAACTATAGCTGTGTTAGGAACTGGCTTGAACCATGCTTGAGAGAAGAATCCAGACTGGAGATATCAGGCAAGGAAAGGAGCAAGGGAAGACACAGGCAGCCAAAATGCTTGATGGGTGGGGGCAAAAATTGTGGGAGTGGAAATGTGAAGTTTGGAACTGGAGTGAAAGCCTCAGAGAATAGGGAGGTCTGTCCCAATTTGGGCCAGAATTGGATTTTCTAGAGCAGCGGTTCTCAAACTGGGTTGGGACCCCAAAGTGGGTCAGGGCCCCATTTTAATGGGGTTGCCAGAGCTGGCGTTAGACTTGCTGGAGCCCGGGGCCAAAGCCGAAGCACGGGGGCTTCAGCCCTGGGTGGTGGGGCTCAGGTTACAGGCTCCCTGCTTGGGGCTGAAACCCATGGGCCTTGGTCCCCCTGCCTGGAGCAGTGGAGCTCAGGCTTTGGCCCCCTTGCCCAGGGCAGCAGGGCCTGGGCAGGCTCAGGCTTCAGTCCCCCCTTCCTGGAGTCATGTGGTAACTTTTGTTGTTAGAAGGAGGTTGTGGTGAAATGAAGTTTGAGAACCCCTGACTAGAGACTGTAGAATAAATAATTTTGGGACATTAGGTCTGAAAAGTCTACCTTGAACAGCTTATTCTTCTGATACTTCTAGTCCCTGCCTAATGTATTCTCTAGCATATCTAACAATCTCACAGGAGGCGGTAGATTTTTCTTAGCTAAAACTTGCGATTGGAATGTCTTCTCCCACAACCTAGTTAATGAGAATATTAATCATTTCTGTGTTTAACTCAAAAGGGGTTAAAAGGACTCTACCCTTAAATCATGCTTATGTCTGAAAATGTTTACCTATTACGGTTCCAAGCAACACTTAAAATGATTATAACTGAAAGAGATTAGAGAAATTAATTTGTTTATTTTACGCACTAGTCAGTTTTCTGTTTGCATGAGTCTTTCATTCAGCAAATGGGGAGAATATTTGCTTTAAATAAGAAATTGATCATGAAACAACAAAAGCCCACAGTTTAAGGGCAAGTATGGTAATTGAAATCTCTTTTAAATAGGGTGTTGATGAATCGCAGTTAACTCACACGATTAACTCAAAAAAAATTAATCATGATTTTAATTGCAGTGTTAAACAATAGAACACCAATTGAAATTTATTAAATATTTGTGGGTATTTTTCTAATATTGATTTTAATTACAACACAGAATACAAAGTATACCAGTGCTCACTTTATATTTTTGATTGCAAATATTTGCATTGTAAAAATGATAAAAAATAGTATTTTTCAATTCACCTCATACAAGTACTGTAGTGCAGTCTCTTTATCATGAAAGTGTAACTTACAAATGTAGATTTTTTTGTTTTGTTTTTGAGTGAAATCCTGTAACAATGTAAAACTTTAGAGCCTACAAATCCACTCAGTCCTACTTCTTGTTCAGCCAATCGCTCAGACAAACAAGTTTGTTTACATTTACGGGAGATAATGGTGCCCACTTCTTATTTACAGTGTTGCATGGCACTTTTGTAGCCGGCATTGGAAGGTATTTACATGCCGGCTACGCTAAACATTCATATGCCCCTTCATGCTTCTGCCACCATTCCAGAAGACATGCTTCTATGCTGACAGTGCTCATTTAAAAAAAAAAATGCATTAATTACATTTGTAACTGAACTCCTCTGGGGGAGAATAGTATGTCTCCTGCTGTTTTACCCACATTCTGACATATACTTCACGTTATAGCAGTCACAGATAACACAGCACATGTTGTTCATTTTAAGAACACTTTCACTGCAGATTTGACAAAATGCAAAAAAGGTACCAATATGAGATTTCTAGAGATAGCTACAGCACTTGACCCAAGGTTCAAAAATCTGAAGTGCCTTCCAAAATCTGAGAGGGATGAGGTGTGGAGCATGCTTTCCAGAAGTCTTAAAAGCAACACTCCGATGTGGAAACTACAGAACCCAAACCACCAAAAAAGAAAATCAACCTTCTGCTGATGACATCTGACTCAGATGATGAAAATGAACATCCTTTGGTCCACACTGCTTTGGATCGTTATTAAGCAAATCCCGTCATCAGCATGAACATGTCCTTCGGTGGTCGAAGCATGAAGGGACATATGAATCTTTAGCGCATCTGGCATGTAACTATCTTGTGACACTGGCTACCAACAGTGCCATGCGAATGTCTGTTCTCACTTTCAGGTGAAGCGGGCAACTTTATCTCGTGCAAATATAAACTTGTTTGTCTGAGCAATTGGCTAAACAAGAAGTAGGACTGAGTGGACTTGTAGGCTATAAAGTTTTACATTGTTTTATTTTTGAATGCATTTTTTTAAACAATTCTACATTTGTAAGTTCGGCTTTCATGATAAAGAGATTACACTACAGTACTTGTATTAGGTGAATTGAAAAATGCTATTTTGTGTTTTACAGTGCAAATACTTGTAATCGAAAATAAATATAAAGTGAGGACTGTACACTTTGTATTCTGTCTTGTAATTGAAATAAATATATTCAACAATGTAGAAAACATCCAAAAATATTGTTTAACAGTATGATTAATCACGATTAATTTTTTAAATCTCTTGACAGCCCTACTTTTAAATTAAGAATTTAGTGTTTTTAACCTTTTGTGGTTTCCTTTATTACTTAAAAATAAATAAAATAAAGAACACTAACTGGCCTATTTTCAATTTTAAAAAAGGTCAACTGGGTATCTGGTTAGAAGGGATGGTGCCCTGAGGAAGTCACCACTTAACACCAGGAAATGCTTGACTTATGGTTTAGCACAACAGTTATGTCAGCCAAGTTTTAAATAGTAATTGCCCATTTTTGTATTGTGTTAAACTGAAGGGCATGTTGCCATAAATTGGTTACAGGTCTCTTCCCAGTTGAGAAGAGAGAGGACACATCCAACAAAAAAGCAGGGCTCTAGTCTTAATATTGCCTTGTTTTTTAATAGTATGTACATAAAGGCATATCCTTGCTGATGACACTTGAATGCTTTGTGTTCACAGCTTGAAACAATGTTTAAAGGTGAACCTGAAATGGACATTCTGACTGAAAAAGAACCATTCAGATGTGTAGTCAAATTTTCCAGTCCCCATCTTTTAGAAGCATTGAAATCCTTAGCACCAGCAGGTGAGTGCTACAATATTAATAGGTGAACTATTTTACTATATTTCATAAGGGATATTTGAGTAGTTAATCTGATTCTGTGTACATATAAATAGAAATTTAGTGAACTACAAGAATTCTTCTATAGATAACCTTAGCTGATGAGGTCAGATTTGCACAAAAGCATGAGTTTATATGTCTGCTTTGCTTACAGCATTAGTGATTGAACATGGATATTCAATTTATACCTTTTAATCTAAATCATATGTGAAAGATAAAATGGTGGATGAGTTAAGCTATAATTATTTTTTTTCCCCTTCCTTCCAGGTATGGCTGATGCACCTCTTTCACCATTACTTACATGCATACCACAAAAAGCCAGGAACTATTTTAAAATTAAAGAGCGAAAAGGCATACTTTCAGCAAGCTGTCTAGGCCCCTGACTTTTTTTTTACTGCAAAGACTCATTCACAGAGAATTATACATATATAATGTATTTAACTACTGTATTTAATCAAAAGATACATTTCAGAACCATTTTTAAAGCTAATTTATTCTTTGGTAATACCTTGTATCCTTTTAAATGATAGTTTACATTTAAGGTAATACTTTTTCCCTACTGTTCATTTTTAACAAATGGGTTAGCCAATGAGATTGACTAATGGCCTGTCGTCTAGCAGATAGCTGAATTTACTGTTTCAGCCAATTAAACTAGTTCATTGAAGTTCTTCTGTGGATCATAATGTATTTGGTGGATGTACACAATAAATTAGAGAACAGATCTAATCAGAATGCAATAAGTCAAGTAATGTGGCAGATTAGTGTTCTTTCACTGTATTAGCACCACTTAACAAAACAGTTAAGTCTGCAGTCTGTCATCTAGCATCAAAGACATTAATTCTGAGTGAGAATGTCAGGAGACCAATATACACTACTGGGAAAACTAACATTCTAGCCTTACCTTGATGTTTTCATTTTTCAACAGAAGACTTCCTTCCTGTGACAATATTCTATTGTCATGACTTCATTGATAGTGAGATGCATTTTTAATGTTTTGTTTTGTTTTTTAATGAGGTTTTGGGTTTGATTGACTAGCAAAAGCTGGTATCAAACATTTGGTGCATATTTTTCATATCCTTAAAATGGTATTAAACGTCTAACAAACAGATGTGATACTTAATGTACAATAGGTTTTTAATTATTTATTTTATCAAAAGACTGAGTAACTAGGTATCTAAACAATTAAAGATAGTTACTTAAGTTTCACCATAAGATTAAGACACTGAAACTTTCTGTTGAAGCAAATTACTTTTTAAGAGTAAATTATAAAGAAGTAACACTCTTAAGATTAAGGGCCTACAAAGTGCATCATTAGGGCTGTGCACATATCCCTAGTTACTACAATATCTTTTTAATATAGCTGGTAAGGGGAAAAAATTCTGACTACTGCACGTGAATTGCTGTTCATGATGTGTGTGAAATAAGTTAGATGTGAGAGATGCAAAACCCAAGCTATATATACTTAGACAAATCTCTGGGCACTTATCTGACAACAAATACTAACTGTAATAAACTATAAATGGCTGAGGTAATCTGCTAAATAGTCTCATTTGGGCCCAAGTTAGTAATATATCAAAGCGCATGCCCAAGTTTGAACATGTCAGTAGTCCCATTGACTTCAGTAGAACTATTCATGTGCATACAGTTAGGCATGTGTTTTGTACCTCACTGAAAGGTAGTCCTTTCAAGATAAGACCATCTGCTACTAATGAAGTCCAAAAGCAAAGTTTCCATCTGACCTTAATGGATGTAAGATCAGACCCAAAGTTTGTAATCACCAAGAGCAACAGCCAGTAAGGAACTTGTCTATTTTTAATTATACTTGTGTCTTTTTCTGTGGCTATTTTGAGATTTCATCATGGGTCTTACCGTAAAACATAATGCAGCTGGTATAACTTTTACTTTGGGGAAGTAGTGTTTCTGAATGCATATCTTACTAGGGTCTGATCCTGCCACACTCCTTGCACACTAAAACTTTTGACTTTGTGTACATAAAGATTGCAGAACCAAGCTAATGTAGTGTTAAAGCAGAAATAGGGTTTGCAGTAGAGTTCTAAGTGTTAATAATTAAACAGCCATTTTGAATTTCACTCATTTAATATTTTAAGCTACAGATGTAATTTACTTGGTTTGAAGATCACTTGTATTGTTCAAAATGTCTCTCTTGGATTCCGTGTTGGTTAGCAATTTATTGTTGATGTATTTTGTGTATTTGAATTTTTTATTCACTTAGATAATGTCCATATGCGGAGAGAATTTTTCAGAAAGGTTGTGGTATAGCATACTAAACTATTTTGTTAAGTTTTGTGTGATTTTGTTTTTGTTACATTTGAAAGGACCAATAAAAATTTAAAGTAGAACTTCTTGTAGAAGTTTGTTTGGCTTGAGATACTTCAGTATGACCCATTTATACTGAATATTTTTTGTAATGATTATAAACTGAATCCTTTGTATTGTACGCTGTTGGACCTATGCTGCTATTTTATAAGTATGTTTCTTTTAACTAAAATTCAGCAGAATTGAAAGTGTTTAAGTATAATATTGTGCTATTACTATTAAGAGTCTGTTTTAATTTGTGATCCAAACTAAGGCCTCTCCACAATCCCCATAAGAAGGGAAAGACTACTTTATAAAAGCATAATCCACAAAAGATGAATGAAAGTTCCCTATCTAAAGTATTTATCTTCTGATTATATTTGGCAATTCTCAGCATATTTAATGTCCCTAAATATACTTTCATTCTATAATGAATTAACATGCAAAAACATGTTAAAACATTAAGGTTGCAAAGTCAAGCGCTCAAAAGTTAGGAAATGCCAGAATTAAGGTTACCTGTGCAACTTTATTTTGGCTCCTTGGTGTGCATACATTTATTATAATCTTTAATTAGTTGAACACGTACTATTTTTCGACAGGACCCCTGCCTCATTCAGTGCGCAGGATCGATGGTACTCTCTTAAGGAGGAACTATTTGATATTTTGTTTCCTTCTCGTTCAGTGAGTGAGCCCATTCCTTATTTACTGCAGAGTGACAAGCTGTGGGCTCTTCTTTTGACAGTGAGTGAGCACTTAGTCTTCTGACCTTCAACCATCATACAGAATGGCCACTTGCTTTGAAATCAGCATTTTCTGTTAAAGTCCTTAACTTGTACAATGCTAATGAAGGACTTTTTTCTTTGAGTTATTTAGTTACAGGGGTATACACAATGTATACACAGTGCTTCTGAAGCATCTAGCACTGGCCACTGTGGGGATACAGGATATTGGGCTAGATGGACCATTGGTCTGACTCAGTATGGCCATTCTTATGTTCTTATATAAATATTTACCATTATATTATAACAGGAATAGATAAGTGAAAACAATGCAAATAACATCCCATTAGTTTTCATGATGTTTAAACACCCACTACACTTATACATCTAACCATTACTTTGATCTATACTAATATACAAGTGAATTGACCTGAATACACTCTAGCATGACCTGGTCTGCCATCATCACAGTAGAGTCTTCCAGATTCAATGCCTGTTTTGGTTGGCATGTCCTACATTCTTTGTTTAAGGAGGACTCCTAGTACCCACCTCCAAGCAGACAGACAACTGCTTGTTAGTCCCCTCAAGTCTACTCCTCTGGGATTCTATATTGCCAAAAGAACTGAGAGATGGTTGGGCTTGCTCTGCCCTTTATGTTCTCTGGTGTGAGTGCAGTACAAAGACACCTTGGGCACAAATGCGACCTCAAGAATGTAATCTCACACACAATGCCCATGTTCATCAAGAGTGGAATCCATGTGGCTAACACATCTTGAAGAAGCATAGTTACTGTAGAGAAAATATTTATGTATCTAACTCAGTTTTCACACCCAGATCTGATTTTCATGTAACATTTATTTGTAACCACAAGGAGAGGAGATGAAGAATAAAATTAGTAGTTTTAATACTTTCCTCCTTTCATTTAGAGAAGTCTATTTTCCTGTTTGATATAATGGGAGGACATACGTTCAAAGTATAAGATTTTATAGGGTAATGTTGTACATATCATTTATTAGCCATACATTTTCAAGTGGATTAAAATAATTTTTTTGAAATGCAGTATTTCTGTTTAATGCCTGAAGGAGAAAAACCTTGCTGTTAACTTCCAAATTTTTATAACCCTCAAGAATGTTCTGAGCCTGGATCATTATGTAGTTAATTAAAAGGATTTCATGAGTCATAGGAGATTAAAATGAACATATATTCACTGTATCCCTTCATAGACTTCAGGACATTTTTAAAGGTTGGTTTTGCTGTGCAAATGCATAATCGGAAGAGGAAAATGAAAAGGTCCTTAATCCTGAATCTACAGATCCTTATATTTGCATAAAGATTACCTTGTTAAGCCTGTATAGTCCAGAGTTATGGATATGACAGAGCCAATGAAAAATGTGAGAGAGAATTGGAAAGAATAGTTTTTGTATTTGCAGCATTAAGCTCTACCTTATTTTATCATCCATTTACATTAAATATATATAGTTTAAAAAAAAAACTAGGTAGTATGTCTTATGTAAACTATACTTTAAATGTATGTGAGAATTAAGTATTTTTTAATTTTCTTACCAGTAATATGCTTGGGAGTTAGAGATCACAGGAGAGGATCAAAGCTGAATCTGGCACAAAAGCATAGGCGTGGATCTGGATTGATGAAGGGATGTGATCATGAGTTAAGAATCCTGAAAACAACTATGCTATGTGCTTGTAAGTTGATCAAACTGATATATATAAAATAAAAAAATTCAGCTATGATATTTCAAAATATGATTATGGACAGAAAAAGAGATGACCTACCTTACCCTGTTTCCCCGAAAATAAGACAGTGTCTTATATTAATTTTTGCTCCCAAAGATGCGCTAGGTCT